GGTATGTTTCCCTGGCGTCGGGCAGGTGGAGAGCTCGTTCTCACAGCACGAATGGCGGTGACGGCTACCTCCAGCCTCCTGACAGTCCGAGTCTCACTACTGCGCACGGGCTGGAGTGCCGGCCCCCCGCCCTCCCTCCCCCCCCCCCCCCCCGCCCCACCTCCGTCTCTGCAGCATTTCCCATTGAGAGCTCTTCCAGCTTCTCTTTAAGGCTTACGGCTCTTGTTTTGGATGGTAGCAGAGCAGAGCTCATGCTGAGCACCGACAGGATGGAGGAGTTTCAGAGTGAGGAAGAGGAGCCCTGGTATGACCAGCAGGACTTAGAACAAGGTAAGGGACGCGTGGAAACATGAGCGGCACTCTAGCCACAGAGGAAGAAATGACCTCGTAGAAGAATAGAAGAAGGAGAGAACGCTGGACGGCCGAATTTAATAAGAATAAGAATAATAAAATAAGATTGCGTCCTAAATAAGAATAAGAATAAGAAGAATAAGAATGCTTCCTTCCCCTGCTTCTCAAACGACAGTCTTTAGGATCTGAAATACTGTCGCTTTTCGGTGTGTGTGTGTGTGGGGGAGGATTATCGAAAATTGTCTATTTAATAATTCATTGTACGCCAAGGGAGCAATTTCTAGTTAAATGCCTCTGCAGTACATTTTGCCCTTGGTTCTTTTGCCCCGAGGATACAGCTGTCATGACCCTTATCTGGTTCGTCAGAGGTGGTGTAATTATAAGTAGCCAGAAATGATTTATGCAAAATCAGACACTTAATGATAACGGGGCAAGTATTCAGGTGCAGCGGTCCCAAAAGCTAATTACCCCCCCTTTTTTTTAAGGGAAATGCTTGTATGTTTTAGGATTTTTTTATTTTATAGATTTTTACATTGCATGCTTGTATATCGTATTAGTTCAATAAGGGCTAGCAAATGTGTGTTTCATTTTGTTGGAATGTTAAAGTTTTCACAACTTCAGTTGCAGTGCAGGGAATGAAAGGCGATTATCTAGGTTTTAAGCATTCCATACATACTTAAACATGACGCATTTCAGCTGGGGAAGAATATATTGCCTGATACGGATTTATGAAATATTGAGTCTTGAACAACCTGCAGATGAAACTAGAAATCTAGAAACTGTGCATTGTGAAGTCAGAACTGTAGCTAAGAATCTTTCGGTTCATTGATTGTGTCTCATCATGTCAAACATGTTCTTAACTCTTCCACTGAAATTAATGGAGCTTAAATATGTTTACATTTGACCAGATTGTGACCTCATTTATTTGAGGGTTACAACTTGTTGCAGCCTATCCACAGAAAGTCAGGTTCTTAAAATGAAGAATCTCCAGAGGGAATTTAGAATACAGTAAAACTAGAAATGCTAAAGGGCATACAAGTTTCCCCAAATTTCTTATGTCAGCATCAATAAAGTAAATATATTTTCTAACAATCAGGTCTCTAAAAGGGCTTGTTTGATGGCCATGCACTCAGAGTCCGACAGTGTCTAAGTTCTGCTTCGTTGTGTGTGAGTGAGGTATAAATTCATATGATATGAAAGGAGATGTCTGTACGTCACAAAGCCAGTCTGGAGAACCATCATGTCTTGATGCACCAGTTTTAAGACTTAACTGACTCAGCACCTGCTTAAGAGTGGAGCATGCCAATGTTTACATTAGCACAGCATCAGGAAACATAATACTGCACTGGCATTGTAAGGGCATGACAGAAGCATGTCAGGTTAATGAACAATTATTGAGAAAGACAGCTGAAGAAAGTAGTAGGTATAATGAGCTCAAACTGAGTGTGAATAATGAGTACAGAAGAGAGTTCAAGGCCAGCAAAGTGGACTGTTAATGCTTCATGAGTAGAGCTAGTTGATGCCAAAGACTGTATTTGTACAATTGTACTTTGTGGAGCTGTACTGAGTCAGAGCAACAGTTCTGGTTGATCAGTGGTCCCAGGTTTAATGCATCATTGCCCAGTTGCCCTTTTTAGTTGGAAAATAAGAGGACTGTAGAAGATGGAGTGCATCATTATTAGGCACTGTGCCTTACTCAGAGGATTTGAATGCCAACTGGCTGGAGAAAAGGTAATGTTTGGCAGCAGATTCAAAGGGAGTCTGGCCTTTTCTTCAAGTGAGAGGCTGAAACAGCTGATGGCAAGGGCAAGTGGGAACAACAGTTGTCTTGATGACGTACGCAGGAGAGTGGATATTTTGCTCTGATGCTGCTATATCATCAAAGGTGCAGATTCATAAAAGCTGCTTATGGAGCAAGCAGTGCTTTAAACAAAAGTTCTGTGAAGGGTTATGCCCATAAACTATTCATTTGTTTGTTTATGTATTTCCATTCCTCCAGAATGCTCCAGATTTCATTCATGGTTCTCTGTGCCTTATCCCTACAATAAAGGTATATCAGCATAGGATTAAAATGACTGTCCCAAAGTTATCCAGTAAGTTTCATGGATGAATGGGGATTGGAACCTAAACATCCCAAGTCCCAGGCCAACATTCTTATTACACTAGCTCTCTTCCTAAGGTATCTCATATCTGTACTGCTTTTTAAAATAAAAGCCTAAAATATATCACATTGATACTGCTTTCTAAAGGGTTTTGTATCTATACTATCTACAGTACAGGTACTTTTTATTTGACTCTCCAGCTAGTTAGATTAGTCATGTCTCTGACCAAGGAGTTTGCTTATATTTTTTTGTTGTCCCTTTTTTGTTTTGTAGTTTTTCCCTTTTAATTTGTTCCTTACCTAAATACAGGATTGGCCCCTCTTGCTTTGTCACATGCAGTCTGATTAGAATTCTATATGGTTATTTAACCTAGTTGCCCAGTATGCGGAATGCAAAGAATTTCAAATTTTAATGTTACTATCTACAGTATTCCCCACCCCTTAAGTTATTAAAAATTAAATTAACATTATATTGGAATAGGTCTGAGTGTGTAGGGACCAGGCGATGGAGCTCTTTGTTGTAGGATGGCCCTGTACACATGATCCTGCTGTCCTTCCTGTTGCCCTTCACTTTTCCCTTAAACATATAGCATTCAAACAATGTCTCCCACAAGACACAGTCTCTGCCTAAAATCTTATGAGATTTTGAAACTAGAATACGTAAATGAATGTAGACCATACAAATTCGGGATACTGTAGAGTCTAGATTTTCTGAACTTTTCAAGACAGGGAAATTTAGAACAGAAAACTAGGCTTACATTTGCAGAGCCATACAGGCTATAAGCTTGTTTGTTTGTTTACAATATAAGTATTGTATGAGAAGTAATGGATCCCTGGGTAACGGGGCTAAGAATAAATAATTTACAGGATTGTTCTAGTATTTTGCCTTTCTGATTCAGACAAGCTTGTTGACATGTCCAGACACGAACCATCACTGCCCTCATTCACTTTTATGGTTGAGCAAAGAAGTAGCCTCGTTTTCTTGCGTTCAGCTTCTGTACAGTGGGGTCTCTACTTAAGAACTTAATCCGTATTGGAAGGTGGTTCTCAAGTTGAAAAGTTCTTATGTTGAATCTGCATTTCCCATAGGAATGCATTGAAAACCATTTAATCCGTATCTGCTCTTTTCCGTCCATAGAAACTACAGTGGAACCTCTACTTAAGAACTTAATCCATTTTGGAATGGTGTTCCTAAGTTGAAGCAAAATTTCCCATAGGAATGGACTGAAAACCAATTAATCCGTTCTGGCTGTTTTTTTGTTATGTAGAGGTGTGTTCGTACATTGAAGCATTAGTTCCCATAGGAACTAATGCAAAGCTGATTAATACGTACTCTAGCACTAGGGGGAGAATTTTTTTTAACCTAAGATGACCTAAGGTTAAAAAAAGAGCAGGAAAGGTTTTTTTTCCTGTTCTTATCTTGGATTTCTGTTCTCAAGTAGAAGCAAAATTTAGCAAATGGAGCTGTTCTTAAGTTGGATTGTTCTTAAGTAGAGACATTCTTAAATAGAGACCCCACTGTACATTAGCTCCGTCACTGAGTGTGGATAAAGTGTCCACAAAAAAATGAGTGTTTTCCAGCAATAGAACTGGATAGCTTCCTGCTCTTATCTTTATTTTAGACAGGTTTTCGCTCTTAACAAACTTCTAGTGTTCCAATTGCAGTAGTACACTTAGAACAGTGCCGCTAAGTTATAGCTTCTATTGCTTTATGCCAACTGTCCTTCTATCCAGTCGCAAAGAGCAGTGCTTAGAGAGAAGCCAGTTTGATGGGACAAGTATCTCTATGCAGCATGTACGTCTTTGGTGTTCTGGTTTAATCACATACCCCTTTCATTTTTTCTGAAGAAAGGCATTCTGGACCCGAGCCTTGTTTCTTTAAGAAAGTGCTACTGCTGGAATCGATGAAGGTAGAGCTATGGAATGCCAGAGACAGTCAGCCTTGTTTCCGGCAGCTGGAACTTGATGATGTGGCTATGCTGACATAATGCAGCAGCCTTTCAAGGAATGTTTCCTATGGAAGCTCAAGAGAGTGAACTGGGAAATGTTAGCTATAAAGAATATGACTCCCCCCCCCATCCTTCACATATAACTTGCTTTAGAGTAAATGCTTGTGAAAGGAGATTGCAACCCCAAGTAACCTGCCCAGTTGCTATAACCTCCTAAATCAGAAAGTTCATGCTATTAATATGCAGATGTGTATTGTCTTGCTTGTTTATATATCACACTCTCCCCAACTTCATTTTTTTCTGTAGGAGTTTGAGGGTGTTATGTTTGGCCCCTTATTTTGGCCTCACAATGATCCCATAAATTGGTTTAGGCTGTCAGGGAATGCTTGTCCCAGTCACATCAAGTGGCCTTCATGGCAGAGCAGGGATTTTGTATATACTGTAATAACTTGCATGTCGCCGCCAAGCTCAGCGCATGTTTTAAATGTAGCTCTTGGTCATGAACGAAGTGGAAGGATAGAGTAAGAATCACGAAGGTAGTTATCTTTTAAGCTCCCTTTGGAAAGAATACTAGATTATTCCAGCAGTGACATACTTCATGTCTGTACTGTTTGCACTGCTATTTTTGTCAGATGTGAATAATTGCTTTCTAAATTATTGCTATCCTCCTCCTTGGAAATTTTGTCTGTGAAATTTGGGGTTGTTAGTTATATTGAGACTTGCCTTTCCTCCAGTGACCCCTGTGCCAAATACATGGTTACCCTCCTTGCCACTTTATCCTGCCAACAACCCTGTTCAGGCAGAAAGAAGAAATGACTTGCAGAAGATTACCCAGTGTTTTCTGTGGGTACCATGTAGTCTGGATCTCTCAAGTTCTAGCCCATCATTCTTACCACAACATCATACTGGCTGTCACACATGATATGTGA